GGTAATTTTTTTTTTTTTTTTTTTTTTGAAGCTTGTGTTATAAAATATGCAGGTTTCAGGGAGATTAATGACTTTAAGTTATCTTTTTTACATCGTGGTGATGGTCTGGTTTAAATTGTAATCATTTAGCAGGCTAATTGTATAATGATATGTTAATCGAGCAGTCTAATCAGCTAGTGATCTGTTAAGCTAGCAGGCTGAACTAGCTTCATGTTAAGATAGGCTAATCAATTGGCTGTATGATAGCTAGAAAGCTAATCTACTGACTGTATGCTTACAAGTTAGCTTACAAGTTAACGCACTTATCTTATGCTTATCTTACAGACTAACTGATAAAACAGAACAGCAAAAGTGTTACATTTGACCATTTATAGCTTGCATAACATAATATGCAATGTAAAATAGGGTTAAAGGACTAGTAAGAACCTGTGCATGAAACCAGGCAGTCGGACTGAGAAGTTAGTTATAACATCTTGTTGAGCTGGTTTAAATTTTAATCTGAATTTATGATTTTTTTTTCTATATAATCAAAATAATGTTTGTGGTACCAGTGGTTATGTTAGCAGGCTAATCAAGTAATGCTGTGGTAATCGAGCAGTCTAATCAGCTAGTGATGTGGGCTAATGAGTTAGCTAGGGTGACCATACGTGCCATTTTCCCAGGATGCATCCTGGCCAGAATTTCTATATTGCCTAAAATATCTAGGTTTTGGCTTTGGCAATATAGAAATCCTAGACAGGACGCGTCCTGGGAAAATGGCACGTATGGTCACCCTAGAGTTAGCTATATGTTAAGCTAACAGGCTAATCAATTAGCCATATGCTAAGCTGTAAAGTTAATCTATTGAATGTACAGAATATGCAAAGCTAGTTGGCTAACCAGTTAGCTTACAAGTTGATGCACTTGCTTACAAACTAATTGACAAAACAGAACAACAAACTCATTTTGACTAAATTTGACAATTTTTACTTATTCATTGTTTCCACTGGGGGTATGTTAGCAGGCTAATCAGCTAATGGTATGTTAAAATAGCAGTCTAACCCAGGGGTGCCCAAACTCGGTCCTGGAGGGCCGGTGTCCTGCTGAGTTTAGCTCCAACCCTAATCAAACACACCTGAAGCAGCTAATGAAGCTCTTACTAGGCATACTAGAAACTTCCAGTCAGGTGTGTTGAGGCAAGCTGGAGCTAAACTCTGCAGGACACCGGCCCTCCAGGACCGAGTTTGGGCACCCCTGGTCTAACCAGCTAACAATGGCTTACGCTAGCAGGCTATGAGTTAGTTGTATGTTAAACTAACAGGCTAATCAATTGCTAAGGTCGAAAGCTAATCTCCTGCCTTAAAAACATACAAACTGACAAACAGAAAAACAAATGTTACATTTGATTATTTATAGTCTCTGTTATATAATATGTGACATATAATGCAGTTAAAAAATTTTGTTACCAGGCAGACTAGTAAGATCCTGTGCATAAACCAACCAATCAGAATGGAGATGCTATTTTTCAGCAAGCATT